GGGCGGTGGATAGCCGGCGGGTCGCGACTTTGAAGCGTTGCGCACGACGAGAACACGAAAAGAAGACGAGAACATCGCTGGATCAGGTCGCTTCGACTTGCGGGCGATGAATTACGATGGCGACGAGCAGCATTTTGTGCCTGGATCGATGAGCTATCGTTTTACGATATCTCGTCGCGATGTGACACGTTATTGGCCTCTCGCTGCCAATCGTAAGTCGGTTACGCCGCGCAGAGGCTTCCTTCAACCGCTTGTGCTACTCCGTCACTACAATACCATGGAGCATACTTCATTTGGACGGTGGAGAATGACCCGCAATATTGGTCTTTCTCTGTCTATTGCCTATCATGCCTCCAGACCGTTGGTCGCAACTGCTGCGACGTTCAGCTTGACCTATCCCTCATACACGCTAGAGATTGCAGTGCAATGGGCTGGAGGATCCGATCGATCCATTTGGTTCCAACCGTGCGATAGGTCAACCGGCAGTCTAAGCAAGAGATGCTCAACCGACTCTTCCACTTCCGCGCTTCCCAGACTTCCGGTCGCCCTTGGGTGCCCCCTCTTCCTCCTCACTGTCCTCCACAACAAGCTTCGGCCCCGCGGTCCTCCCATCAAACCGCTGGCGTCGCTCACTGATATGCACATCCACCTCCCTCCCCCGCTTCCTATACCCCTTCACAAGCCACTCGCCAAACCTATACAGACAAGCCAACCGCCCCTCTCCTCCCTGGAGATGATTCACACCTTCAAGATACACCCTTTTAACCCCGCCATGTTCAAGCATCGGTCTGAAACCGAAGGCATCCAGAAAATCTTCTAGGTCGCGAGGTCTCTGGTATTGTGTGTACGCTCTATCGACGAGCTGGATCCAGTGGAATGACATGGCGATTGTCTCGAGCTGTGTGCACTTGAGCATTAGAGGGATGTCGAGGTTGCCGTCGATATCATAGTTGGCCCGGGTATACGGTATGTACTTTACGTGGGGGAAGTTGATGCGCTTGATGGCTGCGAATCCTTGGGTGGTAGCTACGCCATCGATCGTGACCGCGGGGAACGTAGAAAGGTAGTCTGCGAACCAGCGGGCGATTTTGAAGGGCTTCTTTGAGTCATATTTGAAGTCGAACCACTCGGTTGTTGAGAGCATGAAGAGGGTGACTTCGCACAGGAGCTGCTTGTTTGCAAACGCGAGAGCAGGGAGCCAGGGCGCGAATGTGGCGGTCGTCAGCTCCTCATCGGCATCTCGATCGCAGATGATGAGGTCTTCTGGCCAGCGCCAGGTACAACACGGATTGTTGTAATTGTCGACATGGAGATGCTTTGCCAGACTCGAGGTGTTGCGCGCATTCTCTAAATAGCTCTCGAAGACGTCGCAACAAGGCTTGCGGTATCTGAGGTGGCCATGATCCGCCAGCGTGGAGTCATTGTGCGCTGTCTCTAGGTGCAAGTACGCTGCGAAGATCTTGAGACGTAGCTCCGCGGGTAAAAGCAGGAACTTGGTGAACTTGGGCTCATGGACGGATGCCGTCTCATGACCGGCGACTTCGGGGATGAGCACAGCCTCTGTCATTGTCGCGTTGTGAAGTGTCTACTTCTTCCGTACTTTCGAGTAGTCGGTGATTATCATGATAGGTACCTAGGTAGCATGGAGGCCTTGACCTCCCCGCGCGGGTTGCCTGACGCCCTGCTTACATGGCATCTGGGCAAGATACTACACGTCACGTGATATCTTTCTCTTTGTAGACCTACCTGGGTAGTATCTAGGTGAATTCACTTCAGCGGCTGCGAATTGACACACGTAGGTACTCTGCTGCCTAGACTAAATGGTCAGTGCTCAGTCTCGCCCAACGTCATGTCTATCACCATATCCACTTACTGCATTACTCTCACTCAACGAGTCGCTACTCTCAACTCGAGATTAATAATCCGATATGCCGAAGTGTATAAATTACGAGGTAGAAGTATGTGTTGGACTCAAACGTCTTCGTCTACTTTACTAATCTATGATGACAGGACGCTATTTCTTCCGAGTACGTGCTCCTTGTCGCAAGAGCCACAGACCATGACGATTGCGTGGACCAATCCGATGACCACTCACTTCTCGAGGCTTTCCAAGATCTTCTCGAGGGCGTTGGAGACACCATGGAATACGAGACCGAATCCGTTCTACACACCACACCGAATGATGCGCTGGGTGATTCTTTCGCCCAACATAGTGAGAGCTCCAACCTATCTGTGGACCCATTCTACGAGGACCTCACGAAAGCTTTCCGTTATCTATCTTTTGCAGGTCTTTGGTATCTACGTTACGAGCCTTTTCTCCGCAAAACATCCGCAGACAGGGAGTTCACCAAGATAGCGAAGGCAAGCATGTCATACCTCAAGGACAACCGCGAATGTCGCTTTGATCCGTTCATGCCGTACCATCAACAGTACATGTCCGGGACTCTGGTACAGCTTTACAAGCATATGGGGTATGGTTCGCTCGGCGACGCTGTCTTTCGCCACATGACGGGCTGGTATGATGTATTCGACTTCGAGTGTGCGCGATTCTGTGCGCATTTATGGGACGGACACTGTACCTGCGGTTTTGTTTATGACGACCACGGCTCCATTGACATTCTTGCTTCACGCGATGTCCCGACCGCGGTGACATATATGCACCAAACGACGAACGACCTAATACCCATCGACCGGTTGGCGTTCCAGGATCTCGCAGAAAGAGTAGAAAAGTACTTGGCTTTCACCAACGACTACGATATCTGGCCGGATGCAAAAGTGGCAGCTTTTCGGGAATTCTCTGGTCCTGTTGTGGAATGGCTACACTACGAGAACGGCATTGAACGGATCGAGTGGACAGAATTCAAGGACATCGCTGCAGCAGTGACGGGATTTTTATCCTACGAGCCACCACCATACTTTCCCCACTTTTTACGATTGCCGGCTGAGATTCGAAAGATCGTTTACCACCACTATCTCTCCGGAAACGGCGCTGTATTCCTCTCCAGCTGTGATATCTGGGCATGTTGTATCTGGAACTATCAGTCGCTGACCGTTTGCAAACATAGCCAGAAGACTCTGACCCCAATCGGACAAGCTTACAACGATGTCGGACGTTGGTACGCGGCTTTGAGTCTCACATGCGGGCAGTTGCAGGGCGAGATCGTTGTCTTCATGCTGGAACGCACGCAGCAGATTGTTCTCAACCTCGAGAAGGGTGGCGGCGACGGCGGTGCGTGGTTCTACGACATTCTGGCTGCAATTCCTCGTGGTGACGGTCTGCGGGCAGTGAAGCACCTAGCCTTTTGTCTTGAGCATCTGTGCCACGACTCTCAGTCGTCACCCTATACAAAAAGCCCTATGGTGGAGCTCGCGCTTGCCTGTACTTCTCTCCGAGAAATCGAGTGGACAATTTATATCGAAGAGCTCTTCTGCTTTGACTCTTCAACCGGCTTGAGCAGCCCGCGGTCTGTAGACGCGCTACTAGATAGGTTCGCACTCCGCGCTTTGATCAATTGTGAGAGTCTGAAGCAGATTCGCATGAGAGGTTTTTATGAAAGTCTTGAATGGCAGCGTAGTCCAAGTGACTGGGACGTCCTTGACGGCGTGGGGAAGTGGTTGATGAAGGGCATTCTGGTTCGACAAGAGCGGCACATTCAGGTGATCCTACACCCTCCTGAAATTGACTGGTATGGACTAGGAATACTCGTGGAGCTAGATGAGACAGATGAGAAAGAAGTAGAAGATATGTGCAAGGCGAAGAAAGCGAAGGCTTTGCTTGCACCAGTGCAGGCGGTGCAAGACCTAGGCCTTTTGCCAAGTCTCTTTGGCGACAAAGTTTGAGAAGGCATCGCATACCTAGGTAGAGTAGGGTACAATGAATCTGCCTGGAAACATTTGAGGGCTATCATGATGCTCGTAACCGCTCCAGAATATGTGCTCACAGCACAAACCTGCCTACATCAAGCTCGCAGCGTCCCTCTCCCACTCAAACTCATCTTCATTCTTCCAATAATTAGTACCACTCTTCCTAAACCCCATCTTCTCCAACACTCTTCCACTCCTCGCATTGAGCTTTTCCGTCTCAGCGATGAACCTTCTTACACCCTTCTCCGCCGCCGCCCACTGCATGACCGCTTCCGCAGCCTCGCGAGCTACACCCTGACCCCAATACGCCGGCGCAACACCGTAGAGCATTTCGACCATCTCTTCCCACGGTGGTAGTGGATCGTCAGACTCGTCGCGTGGAGGAAGAGAAGTTGTGGTTGCATCTCGGACGCCTGCATAGCCTAGCCATTCCACGTCGCCAAGTATTTGGCATACGTTATCCATCTCATCCCCATCTATGATCCGGACTTTCTCGCTCGCATCTTTTAATGACCGACCCATATCATCGCTGACTTGCTCTTTCGGTCGCCAGCCAACTGCAAAAGTGCCCAATCCCCTCTTCTCCCAACACTGTGCAACGTCTCGTGTAGCGATCGACTTATGCATTTCTTCTTGCGTGCGCTTCACTACGGGAAACTTGTCGCCGAAGCCCATCTCGCAGAAAGAAGCGTCGGCGAGGAGGTTTGCGAAAAGAGTGACATAAGATGGGATTGAGATAGCCAATGGCGTGGGTACAACGATGAGTCGAGGTGTGACGAGGGCGAACCGCGAAAACGGTGTCGAGGACTGTTGTGAAGTCATCTTGAAGTGTGCCGGGATTGATGAGATGCATGAACAGTCTTGCGGATACTTGTACACTTGGAAAGATGATAGAAGAGATGACTCGGAGGGTCTTCCGCCGCAAGAAGAAGCCACTAAGTGTAATCCAGCCTAGCGCAATATGACTCAAAATGACGGAGAAGCACCGGGTCACCTCATACAAGGGAAAACCTGAACAGGTCTGCAGACTACATTAACATGACTACATGCAAAGTGGGTGTGCTAACATCGATGTAGACCCCAGGGGGTTCACTTTTTCCCTAGGTTGACGTGGGATGATATCCTTATCATCTAATCTAGGCTACCTTGTTCGCCTTCATTGGCTCGATTTGAAATGGCGAGAAATGCTTCCCGCGCATGCTGTCCCAGCTCTCCACCAACGCTTCACACCTCCGCCAGCTGTTGTCCACCACCTTTTCGTGCTCTTCAACAGTCCTTTGCACCCAGCCATCCCTCTCGTCTGCCACCATCACTGCTTCGTCGCCTTTGCCGGTATATTTGTATTCTTTCCACGGCGTCTCTCCATTCGCGAAGCTGTTCCAGGTTCGTGCGTGTTGGGTAGAGATGTCCTTGAGTCTTTGTGACGGGTAGCGGAATTGGTACGTTTTGAACACGTAGTAGACGTCGACCCAATGATGCGCTTGCTGCCAGAAGGGACTGGTGGCGAAAGGATTTCGGACATCGAAGACGTAGCGATAGACCTTCTTGTTTGTGTGCTGGGTGAGATATTGTGCTAAGAAGTGAGTCGGCGCTACAACTATTAGCTATATACACTGCATGATGCGGAATGTCTCACCATCGAAAACGACGTCGCCTACCCAACGTGCGCCTGCAGTTATGAACACGTTCTTGTCCATTTTCGGTGAGATACCGTAAGCTTGCTCGACGAGGTCCGCGCTTTTCTCGCCTAGCTGCTTTGCGATGCCTTTGAGGAAAGCGTCGGGGCTGACAGCAGCAATTCCTGACATCAACGTGACGCCCTGTATGTTTGGGTAAGCTTCTAACACTGGGTATCTGTCAGGGAAGCAGAAACTCACCTCAAAGCCAGTAGTACCCAGAATAATCTCGTTGACCCACTCGCATTTGCCAAGCAACTCGGGGATGCGGTCCCATGTCACAGAGCCCGCTTCATCACCAAACCATTCTGGCTCTTGAACCGAAAGCCACATATTATTAGCTGCTCGATGCTCGGCGGATGCTTCGACGATCTTTTGTACGTCCACCTGACGTAATTTCTCCAGACCTGCCTCGCCTTCTTCTTCAATCCCAACTCTTTTCAAGAAGCTGTTGTATGTCTCGCTTGCGCTTTCGGGTGATAGCGGTGCTGTCGTTGGCCCAATAATGCCAGACATGAGAATCGCTCTCTGGAACAGCGGACCCGAAGACGGATGTTGGCGTAGCATGTGGGCGCATATTGACATGGAGCCAGCGGACTCTCCAAACGCAGTAACCTTCTTCTTGTCCCCTCCAAAGCCCTCGATGAAATTTTGGATCCAGAGAAGCGCATTTCGTTGATCGTTCAGCGCGAGATTTGCATTTCCAGCCTCCGGAGTATGTAGATAGCCAAGCGCCCCCAAACGATATTGTATGCTCGCGGAGATGATGGGTTGACCATCAAGAATCGACTGCTCGACCATGAGAGACGTGTTGTGCTGCTCGTCAATTTTTCCGAGCACGAAGCCTCCCCCATGGATGTAGACTGATACAGGTAGTCTTGAAGATGGTGGCTGCTGCTTGAGGCACGAAAGCGGTACATTCACCTGAAGGATAGCACATTTCAACTCGTCCGTTGAGTGTGGAAACTTTTCGTCAGGGAAATTACCGCCGCCAACCGCGTCAATATTAAAGACTTGAGGGCATGCATGGCTGAGGGCGTTAGCTTCTCTTCCGAGGGAAGCATCAGGGCAAGTAATACCCATGTTCCGTGAAGTCTTTCTTGCCCGCAAGCGTATCCGAGAGAACAGACTGCTTGAAGCGAGCGGGGATGGTGGCGTATGGCACAGCGCGAAACTGAACAACGTTGTCAGGCGCGACGATGCCTGTCATGGGACCTAAGTCGGCATGGTGAAATGTGAAGGTCTGCGGTGCCTGCTGTTGTGAAGTCATATTTTCTGTTCGATGGTTCTATCACGCTATCGAGGAACCGCGAAGACAGGCACGGGATATATAAGATACCAGCGGTGTACGCAGACGACGCGGGGAAGAATACCATTTCTAGACAGCCTTGTATCTACCGGGAAGTGGGGACTAGGCCCGCCGAACCGGTCGGACGCGTAAGAAACATCCGATCCGCTTACAGAAATGCTCATTATCGATGCCTACAATGCTGCCTTGAGCCCCGTGATGCGCAAATTCCAGGATGGGTGGTGTGTCTGACAACGGACAAAATGCGCATATCTTGCAGTTGTAGTAGCTGGGACGTGCGATAGGTAAGGCCGCCGCTTGATATTGTGACTGCAAGTAAGCTTCAGCCCTTCGGACTCAGAATGACTGCCGAGACACATCTTTGTTGGAGTAGCGGCGGGGTTATTCGTCGGCACATCAACGCGCGAGACCGATGATGAACGGTTGTAATAGAGCGCCGAGAAGCGAGCCAATCAGTTCGCTAAGAAAGTGGGAGCGTCTCATCTCGCGATATATTGTACAACAAAGCTGTTGTTGCCTTCTGGCGTTCGAGCGGTGGTGATGATGATGATGATGACGTGAACGACTGCACGAAGAATGGCCGGTGGTCGGTGTTTGCGCTAGCTCGAATGAGTGCTAGCTGGCTTTTTCATTTCCAGACGCGTCGCGAAGCCTTCGAAGGTTAGACGCGTCCCATCGACGCGTCTGGCCTTCGCGACTAGCAGCGATGTTTAACAGCAGAAACGTAATATTATGTTCCAAGAACGGTACCTAGCGACAAGGTGGCTAGTACCCGCAGAAGAACTCGACAAGTGGGCGCCACGACCCAGCCACAAAACTCTGCACGCCTCATTCGTACCTTCTCGTCTTGTTATGCACCGGCCCTGAACAACAATACTGCCCTGCGATACCGCACGCTGACGTCGAAGCCCCCTAGAGGGAACACCAGAAGTCGAATTTGGAAGATCAAACGCCTTTACTGTCAATGTCTCGCTCCCGCGCCTATCCAGGTGACATCCACACCGCAAGATTACGGAAGGGCAACCTCTGCACGTATGTAGTGTAAGCTGGTCCGACTACTATGTCGTGACGACTGCAGATCTACTCTACTGTGATCCCAAGCGCTTACCTTCGATGTTTGTCATGTTTTACAGCTCAGCCTTTTTCTTGGTTTTCGCTGCATCTTCTCTCTTCGCTCAGGCCGCTGCAGAATGTACTCGGTTCTCCACCAATGGCTCGACGGCATCAACGTACGACTTCCATCGCTTCTACGACTTTAGGCAACTACATGATGACATCGATGGCGATGCGGCTTCTGCCTCGTCGTACGGAGAGGGTCACACGGACATGGAAGCAGCCAGCGGCCAGTCCAAGATCATTCAAGCTGCTCCTTGGGTTTCGGGCTGGAATGCGAGAGATTGGTATAGACCGTCGCCAAGGGATGATACGGTTGACATGTACTATGAACCATCCCGTGTATCAATAAGTAAGCTGGAGCTGATGTTGCGTCTACCCATTGCTAACCACCCACAGGTAAGAATACCGACGCGTCGCAGGATTCTACCTATCTTACCTTGCACACAACAAGACTTTCCGATGGAAGCCAGGTGGCCGCTGAACTAGACTTTGCGGAATACAATGTCACCTACGCCTCTATCCGCATGTCCGCACGCATCAATGGAGCCAGCGGCGCAGTCGCGGCCTTCTTCACATACCATGATGACACCAATGAGTCTGACATAGAGATACCAACTGGGGTCAAGGCTGACGAAGTGCACTACTCCAACCAGCCCACCGCCGACCCCGATACTGATGTACCCATCGACGGGGCAACCTTCAATGTGTCAATGGAGGACTACCAACCTACCTCGGACTGGAACAACTACAGGCTGGACTGGGTATCCGGGAAGAGCGCGTGGTACATGAACGGTGCGCAATCAGCTGAGACGGATGTCAATGTGCCCGATGCAGAGAGCATGATCATCTTGAGCCTTTGGAGTAACGGAGGCATCTTTTCGGGGCGTATGGATACCGGACAAGAGGCCTGGTTTGACATTCAATGGGTTGAGCTGCTCTTCAATACGAGTGCTAGCGCTAGCACCGATCCTGACGGGACTGTATGCTCGGTAGAGTCGTCGCCAGGCTCGCCGGTACCCAGTGGTTCGCGTAGCTTTCAGGATCTGGTTGCTGGGGGTATCTGGTGGGCCATTAGCATGGCTTCAGCTGTTAGCTTTCTGGTTTTCGTATAACGACACGAAGTATTTGTAAAAAAAATGAATTTATCTAAATCACTTGCTAGAAAATGCACTGCACCGCGCCGATGACCTCTGCAGGGAGCAAGACCATGATACGTTGGTTGCTGCGATCGTCGTTTCTGGATTCGTGGCGTACCTTCTGAACATGGATTATAGGTGCGGAAGCGTTAGTATCGACGGCATCAGGCACCCGACAGAGGCCTCGTTGATGTTTCCCATGAGAGCAGTTGGGAGGGTATTTTCTCTTGAGCCTGGCGTCATACAGCGTTCGGAGTGGCCCGCTGTGGATTTAATATCCCGGGTTTCATTACGCGCACGGCGCTTTGACCCATGGCGCCTTCCAGGACTACGCGTTGCTTGCGGGGAAACCGCGGAGGGTCGTCTAGGGAAGTCGCGGTGCGCGAAGCGGAAGTCGTGTCAAACGGAAAGCACATCCTGGATTCATCTGGTCAAGAGCCGCAGTCCCACCTTCCGCCCCTACCAAATTTCTTTTGACTCTTATCCACATCACTCAGTTATAGACTCCCTTAAGCACAGCATCCGAGACATCACCCACTATGCGCATTCCCGCTACTGCCATGATGCTCAGCATGCTCATGCTACTGATCCTTTGCATCCAAGATATCGCCGCCCTGCCAGCCGAAGCGTCCGACAACTTGTGGAAGCACATGACCGTACGTCGCTTCCGTCCGGATTACAAGAGTCAGGTACTGACGCAATTTTCTCTAGATCCAAGTCTGTAACGTGGCCAACTTCAAAGGAGCCTGCCGTTACTTCGACGTTATGGTGGACGAGTGTCGCGACATCAGCAGCGATTAGTACGTATACACTATGTCATCTTGAGATGTGAAGCTTGTGCTAACACATGCGCCTCAGCTCCAGAGAGATAAGCTCAGTTCGCGCCGTGACCCACATGGGCTGCTGTCAACTGTATCGGTATGCTCATTCCTTGCTACCTTCTCTATGGTCTGACCACACGCTCACAAAGGCTGATTGTAGAACTCCGCGCTGCGAGGCTCTCTTCGGCGATACCGACATGGCCGTACGCTGGGGCGAAGGCGGTAAATCGACACTTTCAGTTTGGACGAAGGGGGATATCAAGAGCATGAAGTGCTTTATCCTGGGCCGGCCGACCGAGATGATCGACTACTACTGAGTGAGCGTCGCGGGGACGAACAAGGGTAGATGCGCCGGTATACACCGCGCTCGAATTAGACATGGACTCAAGACTGGGACAGTCGGTAGCTAGGAAGCTCCACAAAAGCTATTTGTCTGAATATGAGTAAAGAGACCCGGGATTTGTTTGACATCGAGAGCGGACAATGGTACAATGGTAGTATATTATGGTCTATACAAGAAAGGAAATCCCCAAGATACTCTATTTTGTCCCCCGTGGAAACGTAGCGAATCGTACCGGTAGTGTACATGATGTCATAGCAAAGGCCAGGGTATCGGGAGAAAGAAGAGGACCGAGCGGTCAAGCTCGGGCGGGGTATATAATGTCGTGACGTCGTAGGGTGAGGGTATCGTGAGAAGAAGAGGGGGTTAGACTGGCCAAGCGCATGTACGAAGTAAAAATGAGCGAGAAAAGAAGGAAGGAGGATAAAGCCAACAGCCGGCGGCGAGCTCGAAGCCTGGCGGAAAAAAGGGAAAGGAAGGTCGAGAGCGACATATCTCTGATAATTGCCACGCGTATTAGAGCAACTTGAAGGTTTTCTCCACGCAATGAACTCCAAAGGCCTCATCGTCCATTTTCCCGTAGATGTAAGCTTCGCCGACGAACCGATAACCGAAGTGTTCATCGGAGCTATTCATAGTAGGTCGAAGTATGACGGGAACACTACATCCATATAGAATGGCGATAACATCGCCCTTCTCGGTCTTCGGCGGTCCGAAGCCCACGAGTTCGTCGTGATCGGAGTCGCAGGTCTCCACAGTGGCGCTACAGATGGGATTGCCTCTGAGGAAGGATCTGTTCCAAGTGACAGCGCGAACGCGACAAAGGTAGTCGTAAACTATGTCATTGGGGCCACCTTGAAGGTTGCGACGTAGAATGGTGTTAATGTTGATGTGCCCGTTGTTCGTCTGGTAGGTAAGACAATGTTGACATGCTTTCTTGTACCAATGAGGGGGTGGGTTGCCCTGTGGGTCGCGGTCTGCCACGAGAGTTTGCCATAGCTTGGCTGGAACCTCAGTAATTTCTATCGCGTCCTTGTCGAATACCCATCCTAGACCCTCCAAGCAATCTTTGGTGATCACACCATCGGGAAACGGGTCAGTGCGGAATGAAACTGTCCCTATCATGACACCTCTCACGGACATCGACATATCGTGTATGACCTGAGACGGTATGGCTGAGGCGCGATGGACAGGACTTCGAGGGAATTTGACACGGGCTTGCTTACCTTGCCTACCGCAAGCGTTGTAGTTGTTACTACCGGGTAACCCGACAAAGCTGTCACCAGCCTTTCGACCGCGAAACAGATCTTCGCCCTTTCCCCAGGCAGAGTCTTCCACGAAAAGGATCCAGGAGGGTAGTTGAACTAGTCGAGGGGTGGTTGGAGTTCGTTCCCGGCGTTCCTTTAATGCCCAGTGGCGACAGATTATGTCGATGGATCCCGAGGTATCGACAGCCCATTTGATAAAGTCGCGATATATCTCAAAGAGATCGTTGCTGTAGTTTGGAACAGGCGGTGGCCTATGCTGTCCTGCGGCACGCGGGTCATTTCTAGTCACCTCTTTAGATATACTTCTAAAGGCATTGATTGTATCGCGTGGATCGGAAGTGTCGAAGCCGGACAAAGAGCATACCAAACTCTCCAATCCTTTGGTAGATTCCAGGGTGCCGTCGGGTCGCTTGCGAAACAATGTGGATGTCATATCCACTAACAGCTTGGCACCGAGGTGCTCAATTTCCAGGGTTGAGTCATCGTTCAAGTGACTGCGCTTGACCTGAGAGGACTCGTAATACATCATGAGCCGGGCCTTCAAGGTATCGAAGTGTCGGTGGAAGATAGCGATGGCAGTTTGGAAGTCGCTCCAGTCCTGCACATGCTTGCCACAGTGAACTGAAGCGGATTGGGCAAATGCCAGCTCTTGTATGACCCAGCGCCTTGAGAACCTATGGGAGATGAGCGGAGAAAACCCATGTTGGACTACGATGCACTTACCAGCTCCACTTGAGAAGCTCGTACAGGCTTGCCCAGTCTTCGATATAAGCATCGCCAGCGAGAAGAGCTAAGTGATTCTCCGGATCAATGACCTTAGGGATAAAAGCCATAGCCCTGTTGGAGACGAGATCATCAGGATTGTCGGAGCCAAGCCACACATTAACATTGTAGGCTTTACGGTAGATGTGCGCCATCTTTAGTACTTGCTCTTCCTTTTCTTTGGTGTCAGATTGATCGATGCACAATGCGTCCACCCAAAGCGCGATAGTCTCGTTCTCTTTTCGCAGATGTCTGAGAGCTTCGTAGAGGTTTGGTTTGACCTTGATCAATTTGTCTTGCACAGCCGCTCGGAGTACATCCACTGCTTTCCTGATGGACTTGACGGGAGACGAGGCTGGATCATCCTGGATGACAATGGTACTGTCGTCTGCGCTATTGCCCCAGTTGTAGGAAAGGGCCGAGTAGGGGTAATGTTTGCTTCCTAGGTGATCATCGCTAACGACCAGTAACGAAGCATTGATTTGCTCATCGAAGGTGCCCGGCTTGACGAGTAGAAGACGGACTTGATCGTCAGGGATACGTTTGTAATGGTACATCCTGCTTACTTGACCCAAGACTTCCAACCATCTGGTACCTTTTGATGATGCAGATGAGCTGTTTGTGGTTGTGTTGAAGCTGTGTCTGTTGATCTTAACAGCATGGCGTGGCGCCCATGCGTGTTTGGCAAGGACGATAGGCGGGGTCGGATGGGTGATCTCGCGTTCAATCGTAGGGTCGTCCATGTGGGATACGCGTTTCACAAGGGACTGAGGAGTGCTAGGCGTCTCTTTGGGTTGAGCTTCCGGATCAATCGGAGTGCTGCATGTTGGTAGTGTTGAAGAGCGTCGGACGGAAGCCTGCCCTCGTTCAACGGGTGGTGGGGTATAAGGCGGAGATTGATGGATGGTATTCGTGCGGGCGGAAGCTGTCGAGCGGCGAGTAACCTTCGGTGAACGATCTATATTGTCATGCTGAGCTTCGGGTCTCCGCCGCTTCTGGGGCGAGATGGATGGTTGTTTCTTTGGTGTCATCTTGAGGACTCGAAGATGGTGGACCAACCTAAAGGAGGGATGATGCGCCGAAGGTTAAATATCTGAGTAAGAGTCATATCTCATAGCTGCAGGAACAGAGGTACTGCCCATGGCGCCACGCGTTCAAGTGGTGGCGCCCATAGAGAACCCCTGATCTGTGCATCGGAAAACACTAGAGAGCGATTGTGTGTGTGTGGTGTAGGAGTTCATTGGTATGTTAACAATGTCCACATCCGTACCCCCGGGGTATGTAGCGGGTAGCGGCTTTTCGTCAGGTCGCATCGCATGCCGAATAGACGGGAGCAACTAACGACCTAAGCTAAGCCCCCGGGCCGCAAGTGTCGGGAATGGCCGACGGAACGGCAAGTGCATAGAATGACCAAGTAAGTACCCTTGCTTGAACTCTTGCTATAGGCCGGAAACCCTTGGGCTTCAGGCCGAAAGGTCATTTTCCCTTCAAAGCTTTTCGCAACTTGGTATCATGAGTATGTGGTGGCATCTGATAGTGAGTGTGAAGTCGGGCATCGCCAGTAACAGATGGACGGGATACACAGGTGACGAAATATCCAATATGGCGGTGTGGGATCATTGCGGCGCAGCAGTGTCGCAGGGGCTGTGGCTCGCCGGACATATGAGAGGCCTTCTGTATCCTGGTTGTGTTCGGCAGCCCTGTCACCCAAGTCTAGACGTTGGAGGAAGCGATGCGATGGGAGCAGGTGGGGCTGTGCCTGCTAAGGTCAGGCACGCTCGCTCGTGGAACTAACAATTGGAGGTAGCAAGTTGATGTGATTCGAAGAATCAGCCTTATCGCCGCGCTCCAAACGAAAGTGTTGAGTTTTGCGCGGTGATGTCACCTGCTCCCGTGACAGTAGGATGCGTTCTGCCGCGGGTCGAGTCGAGCTGAAAGAATCCTCGCTTGAGCCCAATCTTTCTGCCTGCTTGCCTTCTGATCATGGCTGCCTAATGGTGAGTTATTGGGGGAACTTTGCATGCTGTATGTCGCCTGCTGCGAACGATTGATCAACGTTCACGAAGTTGAAAGTGAGGTTGGGAGCCACGGTTTCCTTCTCGGCACTCGTTCCTTATGAAAGATCACCATCTCACGATAGCATTGACCGGCCTCGTGTTGCGTATCCACAGGGCGGGTTGCAGAGCCTCGACATCCACCAAGCGGATGGGTAAGAAACGGCGTCTTCGAAGGTGGTGAGCGTTGGGGCTGACTGTGGCCGGGCTGTGCGCTGCCGCCTACCGCAAAACGTGACATCTCGCTCAGCCACATGTAGGGACGCCACCGGTAAGGCGTTCTTTGAATGAATACATGATGCGCGTCTCAATCGATGATGTTGAGTTGCAGGCGGCGAGTGGTGAATGTGAGTGACAATGGCAGCCTGGAGGGTGGCGGTGTTGGGGAGGACGCTGCCCAGGTGGCTAGCCGAAGCCGCGTGCGACACGCGAACCTTCCGAGGTTGGAATGCGCCGCGCCCTGTCACGCAGCCCAGCCTCTCGACCGCTGCCATTGCGCAGCGCCATCGCAACCAAGCCAAACGGCCGCAAAGATCGGTGTGACGCCATAGTGAAGAGGCACTTCCACGACCACAGCAGATATCGATCCGGGAATCAATTCCTCTCGATCGCAAACTCATGGCTGGGCTAGATCCCCGCTCGTACCGCGATCAATCGCAGACTGCGCGTGCTGACGGCTCCTCCATGCACAACCAAAGCATCAGCTTTGGCCCTCAAGCTATACCAGACAATCTAGGAAGCGCGGTGGCAACCGGCACACGCGACGGAAAACAGACTGCTCAGTACAGCCCAAGCGCCCACAACACGCTGGCTCCGCCGCGCGATATGCAACCAGCAGCTCCCATGGGTCTCTTTGATGTCGATACTGACTCCCTTGAGCTACCTGGAATGGCTCTCATTGACGTCAACCGCTAGGTAGAGCTAGCGCGGAGAATACCTACTGACGGCTTCTTGCCGCTCATCAGAGCAGGCTTCGACGATGAGCGCGCATTGGACTCACCCTTGAGTAACACGATGGAACAAAAGCCGCAATTTGCTACAGTCTGGCAATCAATTTGTGATCAGTATTTCTGTTCCATGAACGAAGGGGTCCTCATTGAGGCGATCGCCGGCAATATTGATCTTGCTTACCAGAAGAGCCAGAGCACTGGCACAGACATCGCGAAGTACATTGACAAGCTGAGAGATCGCGCTTCGTTCCAATCTTCTGTCTATGTGCAGCCCCTGACTGATACTAATGGTAGCGCCATGTCGCTTGACCACTACGAGCAGATGCTAGACATCACTTGTGCCTGGAGAGGACAGTAATTGTTCCCTGAGAACCTCTGCATTCATATTAACTACATGACATGAAGACTGTCTGCCCTTAGCCATCCGCCTCCTCCGTTCAATCCTTACCACTCCCCTTCAAATTGTTGGTCCCGGCGGCTGAGTAAAGCCGCCTCGCGTGCGCGTGCCGGGAGAGGACGGCTGGAATGGGGAGGACTTCTCTCCTGTCGAAGTGAGAACGTTCCTAAAGCCGGGGGCCATCCGTTGTCCAATACCAGGTGCTGACTGCAGCGACTCGGCTTCTTGGCCAGATAGCATATCGTTGCTTTGATACCCAGCGCCTTCATCAGGGAAGGGCTGCTGGGCGTTAGATCTAAGCGGCTCAGCCGGCGTCGCGATGTGAGCACGTGGTGCAAGGACGGATAATGCAATGGCGGCGTTTCGCGCCGCATCACACACCTGCTGCATGAGCGCGAGATGTGCTGTCTTCAGCTGTTCATACCTTGTGTTCGCAGCAGTTACCTCTTGCTGCAGTGTCGCGATGGCGGTGGTAGCAGTTTGAAGACGCTGCTCTTGCTTTTGGAACCTGCGTTCCATATCCGGTTGTACCTGGTTCTGAGCACCTTGTGCTTGTGTGGGCGATTGAGCCACTTGAACAGACGAAGGGCCTCTCTCTGCCTTGCGCTGTGCGAGCATCTTAGCCATGCGCTCGGTGGCCGATTCCTGGCTCGGCGCCTCCCGAGCAGGGTGGACGTTTGGAGGCGCTCGATCACGGTAGCTGCTGTTGGATGGGAATGATTCCCTTGGCGGACTCCGCTCACGGAAGTCGGGCTTGCGGATTAGACCACTTTGGGCTGGGTACTTACCGTCGTACACATGCCTAGGGTCAGCATAACTACCTCGAGAACTGTATACCTCAGATCCAGCGCCGTAGCTGCTGTTTGGATGGCCGGTATGATGACCGGGTTCTTGGTGATCACCAAGGTGCCTACCTTGAGTCGGCATCTGGCTGTCGGGGTATCGCGGAGGCAGCTGAGACGCTTGCCCATAGCCTTGGAAAGGGCCCATCTGAGGAGCCTGAGAATGGCCTTGAGGGGAAGTCGACCTGCCATACTGCTGAGGCGGCCGGTTAGAACCAGGCTTGGGCGCGTTAGCCTTTTGCTCTCTTCGCTGTTTTGCGCGCTGCTTGTGCTCTGGGTCACGAGCTGCGTCACGCTCAGCAGTTAACGATTCTCTAACGCGCGAGAAGCACCAGTCCTCGTTAGCAACCCGCATCAGGTCAGAGCAGGGTTGCCCGGGATGGTGATGGGTGGCGTTCAGAGGACAGCCACCTCGACATTTGCGCCACTGGTTGCGATGCGACAGGTTCGCCTTCTGTCCGCATGCTATGCACAACGTGTGGTGTCCTTTTACGCCTGCATCTTTGAAGATAGTCAGCGCGTCAGTCGGGCGGAGACCCTCCGCGTAATGTCCACGTTGTGGATCGTCAGGTTGCTTCTCATTGGGTGGGCGATCGCCACCGTTACCAAGTCCTTGGCCGAATTGTTGCTGTGGATCATTTGCCATGGTGGTGCTCATGGTCGTTAGCAGCGGTGTGGATGTCGATGGTGAGGTCGAAATGTTGGTGTCGTGCTGAAAGTCGCCTCTATTTAGCCAAGGCGCTAGTGCGCTAATCATGTCCCCACACTCATCTCCAGAGATCAATGGCGCGGATGAGCATTGCACATATTAGGATGATACCTACCAGGAAAACAGCCTGAGAGATATGGTGACGTTCGTGAGACAAGCCATGTGACCGAGGTCATTGGTGCCTGCATGTCCAGGTGAATAGATAAGCAATGTCTCTCTTTTCTAGAATTGAGGGAATGTCAAGACAATTCGACCAATGCATTCTGGAACTCTACATGCTACTCTCTAGATACCATGTTAGTAGACTGTGCGTACGATAACGGACGTGCTGTTGCCTGCTCTTACTAAGTCAATGCCATACTACGTCACCATGCGAGAAATTGTGCGTCGACTCACCTTCACTTCGCGTCAGTGCGCTGAGCCCTCGCTTAGCCTGTCTGGTTGCTCTTGCCTCGCCTTTGTGATCTCGCTCTAGCAACCTCCAAACCCTCGCTCTAGCAGTCCGAGAACAGTAAAAAGCGACAATGACCAACGGTATGGCCCAGTTGATGACGACTGCGAGTTCCGAGGGCGACGGTGCGGGTAATCTCACCTTTGAAAACCACTGCTATGTCACTAACACTTTTACCAGTGCCAGCAGCCATCCTGCCTCAGCTCCAGAGCCCGCTTCTCCGACTACCCGGGGAGATACGCAACAAGATCTACGAGTACGCATTGGATGACTCAAAACCGCTGGAGGTGATTGGCTATCTTCATTATGCACCCTATAAGGCCCACGCAACACGATTACATCAGTTCAATGAACTCCAGCATACTTGTCGGCAGCTTCGCACAGAAACTGGTTATATGGGATATTCGCGGGCCAAGACATCCTTTGACTCCAACTCTCTGGCCCGCTGGCAAGTCCCTCAGGATCCTGGGACTCGGCGAGTTATGTGTTACGAGAACGAGAAGCATGATGAGCATTTACACTACTTCATCGCTCTGTGTCCAATTCGTCACTACACTGGTCTATGCGAGGATGACCCGCAGCTCGAAGTACACATCTTCACACAAGCCCTACGAAAAGATCTTGGATGTCGCGGTCTGCTCGTCCGTGGGGCTGCGCTACAGCTTATTCTGCGAGGAAAAAAGCTGCCTTTTCGGGTTGATGCAGGTATCGCAAGCGATATTGAAAACATGGCGGTTATCTTGAACCCGTACGGACGATGGAGTTTCCATGCAGAACCCAAATTACTGCAAGAGAACATCAGAATCTACCCTATGGAGGAGTATGACGAAGCTGAAGTAAGGTACTCCTACCTCCGAAACAAGAAGGGGTTTGAGGACTGGGTTGCGCAGATCAGGGAGTGGTACAAGAACGGTATCTGAGACACATTGTTCCCAAAGGAAATGCGCCGATTTGGTGGCGACACAAATGAGCGGAGTGTAGTCCTTGTCTGGAGAGAATTTGAAGATGTCTTGACAGTGCTCGAGTTTCTCCAGCTCTTCGGTCACTGGACAGCACGCCAATACCGATGTGAACTCGATCAGATAGCTACATCAGATATTTGACGTTCAGAACCCTGGCTCGTGATTTGAGTATGCCCGCGCAGAAGTTGCACGTGCACTGTGACCGAATCTAGGAGCTTGGCTCCCCTGCGCAGAACAGGGTATGTACAGCCAGTATTGTGGTGAGGCAGAATGTCAGGCATAACAGTAGAGCGTACATCATTTGCATCATGGGCGCAAGAAGGACAGAGTATGCGTCGTCTAGGTTTGCAAGCTTTCGTGTGTTGGATGGAGAAAACATGTGTCAATGTAACGCACGCTGTCATGTCCTTTCTGGTGACTAGTGGCGCTTGGCGATAACTAATCCGCATTACCCCAGAGCTCCTTCTCCACACCCCATTCCGCCCCATCCGAGGAGAAAGAGCCAACACACGCTTTGCAGAAGCCATTGCGAAGGCAAAACAACACAAGGGTTTGTGAGAAGCGTGCTACTACGGCTTTCGCCTTCTTAAAAGTCTTGTACGAACGTTACCGTCCTCGCAGCTCATTTGCGACATTCACCACAGCAGCATCGCGCCTTGCGGAGGTGGCCTGAACCTTTCCCAAAGCAGGATGCCATCCGACATGCGGGAAGAGTTCGCGCTTCTCGACTCAGGCAGAGGATGAATGAAGGCTCAAAAGAGGCGGTACATTAGGCAAAAGAAACGGTAGTCGGCTCGTTCATCACGGGACTACATCATTCATTGGTGGATCGGCGCCTCTCTGGGGTCGAGGAATCTCCACAGCCGGAGGAAAGCCGTCCGAAGCAATTTGTATAAGAGGTCGCGCTCCCCACGGGGGTGGAACGTCTGTTTGGCTCTTTTCAGAACGACGGCGACATGTTGCTACCAAGCTTAAGAGAAATGGCTCTTTGGCATTGGTGCGCTCAATCAAATGGTTGAGACTGGTACGTATAATTGCTTATTTCGTCACATCACGCATCTTACTGTTTGAGGTCGGCACCCCATACTCACACCACCCACGGGGTATCTGTCTACTATAGCACGGAGTCAAAGCTAACCATCGTAGACGTATCTGGAGACTCCATCAACGTGTCTCCCCACATGCGCACCACAACCGTCATCCCACATACTGCCGTTCCCAACATCCGGTAACCCCTCGGTCTCCCGAACATCACCCGGTCTCACAATCTCGACGCGAAAGCGTGACCTGGAGGTCGGCACATGTCACATTGCTCATCTCACGATGCTCTCGCATTGATCCACACGGACCCGTATTTCTCAAAAACTTCAGGACTCTTGGCTCAGGATTTTCACGCTTTGATGCACGTAGCGGGCCGCTAGCGCTGCAACCTCGGAGTCGGAGATGAGGTTTTTATCGCGCGTCGGCCAAGACCGGCGTTTGCTGGGAAACCTGCCAAGTTGGAACCACCGACACCGAGAATGCGCGCATGAGTTTGCCAGCGAAGAAAAGTCGCAGTGACGTAGGAGTGGACTTCTGACGTTGTCAATCTGGACTTACCGCGCTCCGCGAAGATTTTGGACGACCCGCTGGAGCTGTCATCCCCGGTTTTCGAATGCAGAAACTCTGGCGCACCTGTCACCGGCTACTTGGGACGAAAAACGTGCTGCCCTAGCCGAAGGATAACATTTTCGTTCCGGCTACCATCCAATGGCGACCGGTGTGAACGATCCAACGCGACTTGAGGCTCTGCGGAAGCTAGCGAGTGCCGTCACGTCCGTGCGTACACGTCTTGCATATTGTCCAACGATATGAAGCACTTGTTAGCCTCGTCTGCGCTATAGACGCGTCTATGCCCCTGCATAAGGAAACATCCCGGATAGCTCCAAGCTATCTCATAGGCCGGCTGGATGAAGTCTAACATTGGATACTCGGATGGAGCAGTTCGCCGATACTGAAGCGCACCCCAACGTCACCATCCACAATGGCCATGCGAGGGAAACCGTTGGAGCACGCGATACTGGAGTCACTGGGGCGAGATCGCAAACTATACGACCCCGTACACGACCCCGAGGAACAATCCACCAGAACCGGAAGGGTGGTATACTTGCAACAGCTGCAGTGGGCCGATCGTTGCACTATCAACTGTCTGTGCTTCTCGGCGTGTCCAGTGACCATTCCGATACTACGCGATGAAGAAAATTCACGACCGGCAGCTCTCCGGCTCGAGCGTACTCGTGACAGGCTGCCCCATTGCCAGCTCCAGCTCCACGATGCGATGTCATCATACCTCCGTTGCCAGGGCGCTCGTGCGAGCATATCTCCTTTCGCCTCCATGGCTAGGGCGTTCTGGAAAATGTTAGTCGGATGGGTATGCGGATGAGACTGACACTGGGGCTCCACTGTCAATAGACCCTACGAACCCGTCTCCGCATGCATTTTCTGCTATTTATACGGTGCAGCCTTCTCCTCACAGCCCACACTGGTCTCCTCTTCTCCAGCTTCTCTCCAGCTCACTTTGTTTGAGACGTATACCCCGCGCTGCAGACCAGCTCGACTTTTGCTCGATACCCTTTTGTTTTTCTCTATTGATTCCTAATTACCACGCGCCCAACATGACGGTCATGTCGCGTTTCTTCAAGAAGAAGGCGACCGAGGAGGAGATCCACGAGAAGGGAACACCCAACACCGCCACTCCTGCGGACACACCTCCCAGGGGAAACTCTGAGACCGTCCAGGCTGCGGATCTCGAGCCCAAGGGCCGCGTGCCTGCCATTGCCGTTATCCTCGGTGCTTGTGCCAGTATCGGTGGATTCATGTTCGGATATGAGTCTGGACAGATCTCTGGTTTCCTCGAGATGGACGACTTCAAGGCGCGTTTCGGCGGTGAGAACAACGAGTTCTCCGCTGTCCGCTCTGGTGCCATTGTCGGTCTTCTCGCGTAAGTCACTTCCTCCGCAACGCGATGAACGCGTCTAACAACCCATCAGAGTCGGTACTCTCTTCGGATGCTTAGGCTCAGCTCCTCTCGCTGATACCTTCGGTCGTCGTCTCACCATCTCCGGTTCTGCCTTTTTCTACATCATCGGTGTCATTATCGAAATCACCAGCAAGAACGTCTGGGTTCAATTCGCCATGGGCCGCTTCACTGCCGGTCTCGGTATCGGAGCTCTCTCCACCGTCGTTCCCATGTACCAATCCGAGTCGATCCCCAAGCGCATCCGTGGTGCCACCGTCTCCTCTTACCAACTGTTCATCACCCTCGGTATCTGGACCGCATACATGGTCAACTACGGAACGGAGAAGGACTACGTCAACAGCGCTCAATGGCGCATTCCCAACGGTCTTTCCGCACTCTGGGCCATCATCCTCGGTAGCACCATCCTCCTCCTCCCCGAGTCCCCCCGCTACGCATACCGCAAGGGCAAGATCGACGAGGCTCGCATGAACATGGCCCGTCTCAACGGTGTCGACCCCCACAGCGCCTTCATCGACGCCGAAATTGCTGAGATCCAAGAGAAGCTCGAGGCTGAGTCTGCTGGCGGCGACCACCCATGGCACGAGATCTTCACCGGCCCCCGCATGCTGTACCGTACTCTCCTCGGTATGGTCCTCCAGGCCGGTCAGCAGTTGACAGGTGCCAACTACTTCTTCTACTACGGCACAACCATCTTCTCCGCCACCGGCCTCTCCAACTCATACGTCACCTCCATCATCCTCGGAACCGTCAACGTCGTCGCTACCATTTTCGGTCTCTGGGTCGTCGAGAACGTCGGCCGCAGAAAGGCCATGATGGTCGGTGCTGCCTGGATGGCCATGTGCCTCTTCATCTACTCCTTCGTCGGTCACTACGCCCTCGACCAGAACCTTCCCCAGAGCACGCCCGCTGCCGGAAACGTCATGATTGTCTTCACCTGCCTGTTCATTGCCGCGTTCGCCACCACCTGGGGCCCCCTCGTCTGGGCCATCGTCGGAGAGCTGTACCCTGCCCGCTACCGCGCTACCTGCATGGGTCTCGCCACCGCGTCCAACTGGCTCTTCAACTTCATCATCTCCTTCTGCTCTACCCTCATTACCGACCGCATCGACTACTTCTACGGTCTTGTCTTCGCCGTCTCCCTCGTCCTGCTCTTCTTCGTTGTCTACTTCTTCATGATTGAGACCAAGGGCCGCTCGCTCGAGGAGATCGACACCATGTACATGATTCACGTCAACCCTATTACCAGCGCCAAGTGGGATGCGTCGAGCTTGGCTAAGGACGGCCTTGTCGACACCGACAGGCTGCACATGGGTCCTGGTGGTCGCAACTTCAGCAAGGCGGAGCAGGCTGGTACCCACGGTGGTATCTTGGAGCCCGCTGAGCGCAACGAGAACCAGGTCTAGATGACTGGTTGTGGGAATGAGGCTACGACGGAGAAGATGTGTTCACGCTTGGAGTGAACTGTGACGGCCTAAAATTTATCAGTTGTAATTCAGTATGAGTGTCCGTATGTAGGACTGGAAATGGGATGCCGATATAGTGCATGCCCTCAATACATTATCATCAAATCACTTGCAGTCTTCTCATGTTGCGTGGAAGCTTTTCATGTCGTTCTCGTCTCTCAGCCCAGACCTTCGACTGATTCGTCTCCCTAATGCCGCAAATATTTCCGACACTTTGATGCCACTCGTCTCCCGTCCCAGGTAGTTCATCCAGATCGTTGTATTCCAAAAGCCGAATCCAAGTGACGATTGCAGCCTACAGCGCATGTTCCGAGCTTTCATGATACTGACCGGAGTCTATGTAGTTAGCAAACCATTCTGTAACCCCAGGAATCATTTAAAGAATATACCTAACTCACCATAGAAGCTCCGATGTTTCTAGACACCCTCTCGCTGCCACTTTTCAATCTCCTTGATGCAGAGCTCGATCTGCGCCACGCCATGTCTCTGTATGTCTTCCTCACTGAAAACAGGTTGAACAAGATCGCCAGGCCCTGTACCAGGGAATATGCGGATATGACTCGGGATTGGCTCCTCTCGATCAGAGCCAAGACGAACGGCCATCCGGCGCATGAACGGAGAGAGAACAGCATGGTTCTCGTGCATGTGTCTGGCGTACAGGAGGCCGGCAGCCTTCATAAGCCACATATCGGCGGATTCGATTTCGCCGAGAGAGCCGACATATAAGTGAAACTTGATACCGGGCCAAAAGGCGACATATGGCGCCAATATCTCGACTCCCTTGTTCCATGAGCTCACCCATCCCGAGGAACTCGAATATTCGTCGCATAGTGTGACTTGACGAATGCATTGCTGCTGACCCACCGAGCACGCAGTAATGAATGTATAGAAGTCTGCGATCTGCCGGTCAGACTGAAAAGCCAGGTCGTTTAGTCTCAGACCTAGGCCCTTGGTTTCGTGGTAAAGCTGGCGACAGACGTATTTGACGCGGTTAGATTCTACCCAGTGTTCGTAGAGTCGATGGCCTCTGAAGCTCTTCGGGTGGGTTTCGATGAGAAGGAGGCCTCTATCTTCCGTGAGGGCGTACTATCAAGCTGTTAGCACGAATAGTAAGATGTCTCAGCACCGCGTTGGCAAAGCATAGCAAGGGTACTACATACTAGTAATAAGTTAGCAAGATATCTTAAGAGCTATTCGTGGCGGCTACTTTACCCTCATAGATTATATCGCGGAGTTCTCTTGGTAGAGCGAGTAGGCGGTTTGGGACCGACGGTGGTGCTGAGCCGCCTGTGGCGAGTGGCTGTAAGGGTGGGAGGCGCATACTGAGTGTCGGCGACAGTAAGTAGTGTGAGGAGGAGGAGAAGCGGAGAGGCAAGTAAAGTCTCAGTGTTGTTGTCTAGGAGACTAGCCCGTTTGCTCTGAGGCTTGGCGGGCCACAGAGACTCATATGGAAGGAGCAACTGCGTATGTGACGTCACAGCGGATGGAGTGAAGACGTCAAATCAAGCAGAAGTATCGAGTGGATTGTGTAGCATGAGTCCTGATCGATTCCTAGACTTAGCAACCATCTTCGCGACAATCGTTAGAACCTGGACATGGCTGCTTATCTACCCTTGTAGCCGGAGTCGCTGGAATGCTTTCTGAAAGCCAAACTCGAGTTAAACCTTTTCGCCGCATCACTGATGGACGCGCCGTGATATCCAAGAAGCGTTGGCAACGACTCAGAAACCCTCCTGGGACCACTGTTTACACTGCGCAACCCAACCATCGACATCATCAATGTCAGAGTACGGAGCAGTGCGCCTGAGTTCATCCTCGTCGAAACTCGTAGGAAACACTTGTACAGCCGTCGAATCCGCCCAAAAGCCATCTCGAGAGGCACAGCGATATTGTGCCGCGCGATTCGCGCTATCCCTGAGCTCTGCACTGGCGAGATCAGGAAACGTGCCTTTGATTGCACGCTGGACCACGCTGCCCCAGTAACACCAACCCTGGAAACTCTGTTGGTCGGAAAGCCAATCAAGTCGCACCTCCACGGATAGGGCTGGGTATTTCTTGCTGATCGTATCCGCCCCCTGCAATTCGGTGTGCAGTCTGCCACATGTCGTCTGCAAGATCGCGACACGTCGGACTTGTCCAAAATTCGCAGCCGAACAGTACTTCTTAGTGAACTTGTCGAATAGTTCGTAGCTGAATGGACCAGGGAAAGTTATCTTGTTGTGTTTCAAACCGAGGCCCCTGGTCTCGGCGTACAGCTGACGACAAACGAACTTGAGTGGATTCGGATCGGGGCCTCGCGGATTGTGTGCTGCACGGAGGCGAGAGGGAGAGGGGTCCGTGAGAACGAGCCCAGCTTGCTCGGTGAGTGCGTATTCGTAGATTATGTCGCGCAGCTCCCTCGGGAGGCCAAGCAGCCCGGAGTGTCCAGAGGCAGCCATCTATCGACATGTTAGTTGAGCTTCTTGAGCGGACGGTCTAGCTAATGATTACCTTTGCTGCGCGCAAAAGACAGCCGTCGTTCTGGGTGCGTGGTATTGGATGGGCCTGCTGAGCTTGAAGACGAACTGTGGGGCGAGGAAGTAGAGTGTAGCGGTTTGTTTACAGTATTTCAGCAAAAAGTGGGGCTAGTCGAGGTGAGCGACCTTACAAGGAAAGAGCGACCCCAACGTCACGGCAAGGTCCAGCCGGCTACTGATAATTCGATCTCATGGATCATATATTGACTATTCATCTGCAAACAAGAACTTCTTTCATCATTTCCCATACGTCCAAAATCAGAGGCGCGTCTCGCTATACATGATGCGTCATGCGTAACATCTTCCTTTTCCCATTCCTTCACTTTCAAACTAGATGTCGTCGCCTTCAATGCCGCCGCTTGAACGCCAAGTGTCAAACAAGAGACCCGTATTATGGTACAAAGAAGAAGATATATCGGTGGAAGTACTGGAAAACAAGAACTCGATAGAAGCAAAGGGGTATTCTGGGGGTATCTGTGGTGCGACGGTGGGTAGTGGTCGCACGTAAGGATGTTGGTAGGTTGTGGGGTGTTTGGTGGAGGGTATGATGCGCGATGAAGTTACTGTTCAGTATCTGTTCACCTGTATGCATTAGTAAATCTATGTCTTCAGAGAAGATCATTTCAAGCACTCACCGGTATCCCGGGCCTCTCCGGGTGCCTCTCCTCTCGCGGTACTCGTCGTGTTCCTCAATTACTTCCACGACATCATCGCCTGGAACACGTTGCCGCCCCTCCACAATGATACTCCTCGCTCTCGGCGGCGCACCCCTCCTCTCCTCAACGATGATCTGCGAGCGTCCACTGTTCCGCCTCGGGCTCCTGCTGATCTCGCGGACTTCCGAGCGGCGTCGCGACGAGCGTCCGCCATGTGAATTGCGTCGTGGCCTGCGCACCACAATCTCTTCCTCTCCAGCCATGGCCGTGGTCGTACCCGTCTTGTTGTTGGTGTTCATCAGGGACTGGATGAGCCAGCAGATCAGGAGAAAGCCGGCGACGCTGCCTAGCACAATGCCGACGACGGTACCGGGCTCAGGACCGTCGGTATTGTAGTAGGTGGGTATTATACCCTGCTGGGCATATATAACGTTCTGTCGCTTGGCAATGGGGGCTGCCTTGGGCGCATCGAAGACAATCGCTGGCACGTCGAAGGCAGGCTGTCGGGCGCTGAGGCTGGAGTCGCGGGGCGCCATGTTGGCGAGGAAGCTGAGGGGATCGCGTACGGCCGGCATGGTGAAGTCGAGCAGTATGCGACACTGGCCGCGGGAATGCGCGCTGGCAGCAAAGTGGTGGTGTTGGTATCTGGCGTGTTTGGGGGGCCGTCGTCTGGGGGAACAGCAGTTCCTGGCCTGGAACCGACGATGCCGGCGCTAGTTGTGGGGGAGGTAGATCAATTTGGTGTGATGCAGAACACACAACACAATGCTCGAGAAGGAACAAGACAGTTAAGCAATTGTAAGATGCCGAAAATCCGTCCCAGGTAAGAGAGGTGGGAAAAGCAGGGCGCGCTTGGGGATTTGACACAGTAGTGCGCTGGTTGACTACGACGCCATGATGCAATTATTCATCTTGTTATGGGGGCTGGGGCCCAATAATAGGAGGCTGAACCTCAACACCACCGCCCGCACCGCGCAACATCACGACACTCAATTTTCGGCCGATCTCTCCGCATGGCTTTTCTACCGACCAATGTCGCCGCAATGCATCGCCTTTCCCGTTCAGCATCGCGATGCCGTCAAAAGCCATCCGCAACGCTCCGCGGGAGGCGCACCGCCTGACTGCCCAATTTGACCTCATCTCAACCTCGTACCTGGAACCTTGCTCCTCCCAGTTGACCAACTCTGCCCGCCCATACTTGTTTCTTCCTCGCATGTCTCCCTCATTCGACTGGATCACCCTGCGTCAGATCCTGCTTTGCGCAGATACCTCCCGGCCAATTGCGACGGCTTTGCGCGCCGAAACCACAAATCGCTTGTCGCGCCGTCACGTGAGACTTCCGCGGACCTTCTTCGCCGGGTTCTGGTGTGATCGCGACTGCCACAACAACATCCTGACTACCACCCAACACCATACATCAACCCAGCGCGAGCTTTGTGGAAGCTGCAAGTATCACTGTGTCATCTTCGTTGACTATAGGAGTTGGCGACATCTGATGGGATTCGGTGCTTTGCTACCCACCTGAACACGCAATTGTCAGGAACGCGTGCGCATGGCAAAGCGCAACTGCTACACGAGATGATACACACCCAAACAGCAAGATGGAGTGTATATGTATCCGTCTATCCTTGCTCTTGGGGATCGATAGATAGTGAGAAACTACCTTGTAATCACTATGCCACCACAAGATGTGCTTACAGAGAACGCCCAGTCAGAGAACGTCCAGCCACAGGATGCGCGTCCAACTTTCATACCTAAGAATTGCTTACGTCTCAACAATCCTCACATGCTCCAGCTTCAAAGGGACATTTTCAGCCTGGAAGATAAGACCGAGCGCGTTTTGAAACCATTCGATCCATCCCACCATTTCGACGCCATCAAAAGCTCGCTTGGGCAGAACAGCAAGAGCGAACGGATAAAAGATGACGGCATCTTTACACAGTGGCTTGCGCCCACTCATGCCCAACTACGAATTCAGATATGCGGTGGATCTAAGATCGACAGAACTTCAGCAGCTTCTTTCGCTGTTGAACACCTTCAAGGTCTCCAGTCGTCAAACTCTTCCAAGAAGACTCAGGTCCTGTATTTCTTTTGTCATCGTCCTGACCGTCGACGTAGTACTGCCAGCGCAGTGCTAAACGGCTGGATATATCAGCTTGTCCAACAAAGACCTGATTTGACTAAAGAATTTTGTGAATGGCTTCTTCAAGATCCCATTTATGTACCTTCCTACCTCGCCAAGGCCAGAATGATGTGGGCCTTTTTACGACGGGCTGCAAAGCTGAGCAACGCGGGAATAACATACTGTTTGCTGGATGGCTTGGACGAATGTGGCGCAGAGAGTAGAGCTCTCATCCTTGAACTACTCGATCTTACGCTCCCGTACGAAGGCTGCCCGGAGACGCAGCCTACTCTGAAGTTCCTCGTCACCACCCGCATCCCTCTAGACGTCGCAAAATACGGGAATGTCGACTTGGATGCGCGCACTGGGAGCGGGTCTATGTCTTCCACTATGGGCTCGCTTACAGCCGAAGAGCATCTTAGCAGCCTGAGCCAGAAGTATAGCCGCATGGGTTTTATAGTGTTGCAGGTGCTCGCTGCCTACCTTTGCCCGCCGACCACCGGGCAGCTTCTGTCCATGTTCCCCGAGAGCCAGCGAACCCACGTTCTTGAATTCCTCGACTCTCGTCCAACCGAACTGCTAATTAGTTCCGAGCACATAGGGTTCGCAGATTCCGATGCGTGGCTCGCGCTCTCAGAGTCAAGTCTTGCGGACGCCAACAATGCCAAGCTTGCTCGACAATGCCTAGAGTTAATCGGCGCTGGCCTTGCTCAGATCGATATGGCAGATCTGGAAAACGACGAGTCTATTTGGGTCTCGCAAGTCCCTACCGACTTGAAGTATGCAGTAAATCACTGGGCTGAACATATCAAACTGCTGAAGGACATCCCGCAAGACTTGGTGGCATTGATCGAGGCGACCTTTTGCCCTGAACCAATAGTCCTGGAGAAGTGGTGGATCATGTTCATGACCTGGAATTACGGCATCTCCCCGTATCATGATGTTCGTAAACATCATACAACACTCCTCCACGTATGCGCCCTCTTTGGTCTCGACAAGCTCATCGAGGCCCCCTCCTCGTATTGGTTGCTGGTAGAGGACATGTCATCACTAGACGCCCAGATGCTAGCACCGGTCGATGTCGCGATCTTGCATAACCATATTCAGACGGCCAAATTTCTCGCTACAACCTTCGAGTTCTCTGGAAGTTTCTCATGTATCCTCGCGGCTGGTTCCAGTGTGGAAATAGCAGATCCGATCCATTCGAGACATGGCCCCACTGATATACATCTAACGAAAGAACAAATCGAGGCGGTATTGTGGAACGCAGTCTGCACCGGTAAACCAGAAATGCTCGACGGCGCCATCAAATTCGTGTTCGTAAAATCGTCCGGCGACCTTTTCCCATGGAACAAAACGTCATACGCTGAAGCCATCATAGATTCCGGTGAATACCAGCTGCTGAAACACATCCTGACAACGGTCAATATGCAGGAGAAGGCTGGCCACCTCATCGAATACGCAACATGGCATCACGAACCGCGCATGCTCCAGGAGATACTAGACTACGAGGTCGTGCGCGAAATGATCAGACACAATCAGATAAATCTTCGCAACGCTCTGAGCAACGCACTCTTCCGCAGAAGCCCCCGGATGACAGAACTGTTACTCAGCGAAAAGACTATGAACTTCCCAGCCCTTGTCAACAATCCAAGACCGCTGGAATGGGCAGTCAAGCACCCCAATATCCACACTCTCATGGTCTTCCTAGCACAACCGAACTTTCGCTTCGACAAGGGCGCCATTGAAGAAGGCATCGCGCTGAACCTCATGTTGCACAACGCGGGTCAAGTAAGCGGCGTCGGTCTCGATAGTCTTGGTGGGCTACTCAAGCGCGGAGCGCGAATGCGGTACGAAGACTTCGGCATGACCGTTCTCCACGTTGCCGCTGAGATTGGTCGCATGCCAGTCATGGAGACCCTGCTGAACAATCTAACTGAACAGGAGATCAAAGAGGATATCGACCGTACTTGTAGCCGCGCTCACAGAGGTCAAGACCGGGAGGGTATGACTGCGTTGGCTATCGCTGCTTTGAAGGGCAGCTTGGAGATAGTGCAGTGCCTGTTGGATAAAGGAGCGGATATCAGTGTGGAAAATAAGAAGGGGAAGACTGCCGTGCAGCTGGCGCGAGACGCTGATCGGGA